CCCCCACCCCCTCCGCCATCTTCGAAAAGCCGGTGGCATTGCATCTGGATGCCGGTGAGGTCCACACCTTCCTGCCGCTTGCTCCTAAAGGGCAGCTTCTTCCGGCGCCGGCGCAGCACGTAGGCAAAGAGGCCTGCAGCTACAAAGACTGCTGAAAAAAACAGAACCAGCAGGCTGAGAATCAACACCGAAAGGGGCACAGGGCCCCCAGAGGGAGAGAACTCATAAGGTGATGCGCTTGTCGGCCCCCCAGCGGAGTGAGAATCTCCAGGCTGGGCTGGGGAGGCCCCCGCTGGCGCAGTGTGCAGCATCTCCGGGCACAGGACTTCCAGCTCAATAGTGCGCACGTCACGGTGGGTGAGGTTGTCAGGGCTCCTGCAGAGAACATCGCCGACCACGCTGACGGAGCTGATGGTCTCGATCCACTGCTTGAAGGGGACCAGGTCACAGGTGCAATCCCAGGGATTCTCATTGAGGTCTATCTGGACAATGGCATTCAAATGCTCTAAGACACCAGCCACAGGAAGGTAGAGGAAGTAGTTTTTCCTCAGGTTGAGTCGGGCCAGGGATGTGCCTGCAAAGGCGTCCGTTGGTAGGGTCCTCAACAAGTTATTGTTGAGGAATAGCAGCTTCAAGTTGGGCATGAGGCTGAAGGCTGCAGGCTGGATTTCCCGGATGACGTTGAACTCAAAGTACAAGTAGTGCAAACTCTGTAGGCCTCGGAACATGCCTGGTGTCAGCTTCTCGATATCATTGCCATTGAGAAAGAGGCTCTTTAGGTTGGGCAGGTTGATGAAGGCCCCATCCTGGACGTAAGAAATACGGTTGTTCCCGAGATGCAAGAGATCCAATGAAGAGAAATTCCAAAAATCAGAACGGTATATTTTCTGAATCAGATTGCTGCTCAGGTACAGTTTCTTGGCATTCAGTGGCCTTGGAAGAAGTTCAGAAATGTTATTAAATCCTCGCTCTTTGCAGTTGACAGTCAAGCCAAGGTCATTGATGTGCAAATTACAGGTACAGCCAGTAGGGCAGATGATGGGAATGGGTGGTCTGGTCTGGTAAGGAGCAATGGGAGGTTGGTTTGGACCGGGGTATAAAGCTTGGGATGTGGATGGTGGCCGTGGTGTTCGGGGCTGTTTGGTGGGCTTGGGCTGTTTATTTGAGGACTTGTATTCAACAGAAGAAGCAGTAAAATGGACAGAGGACAACATTGAGGAGGGCTTAGTTGGCCATGCGTTCTCCTTGTTCGATGACAAGTGGGGAATCCCCAAACTAGCCTCCACCTCAGAGTCAGACAGCAAGGGACAGAGTTCTGTCTTCCTGATTTCTCGCAGGTCCTTCCCGTGGAAGTGGAAAGGGGTCTCACAGGTGATGTCTCCCACCAGGGCAGTGTAAGGAATACGTTCCAGCCAACTCTTCAGTTGCACAATCTCACATGTACAATTCCAGGGATTTTCTTCCAGCTGGAGCTCCATCAGGCTCCTGCCAATGTGGTCTAGCATCCCTCGATAAAACAGAACCTTTAACCTGTTTCCACGTAGGTCCAGATGGGTTAAAGAGACAGCCTTAAACAAATTAGTTGGAAGCATGGGGATGAGATTATCATTTAAAATCAGAACCCTCAGTTTGCTTAGGTTCCGAAATGCCCCACTCTCAATACGTTTAATGACATTGTAATCTGCCTGCAGATATTCGAGACTTTCCAAGCCCAGGAAGGTGTCATTTCTGAAGACATCTAGTTTGTTCTCGTGTAGATAGAGCCTCTTTAAAATCTTAAGGCCATTGAAAGCTCCTGTTTGAATGTCCTGCAATGCATTGTTCCCCAGGTTAATGGACACAGCGTTATTTAAATGAAGAAAACTGTTGGTGTACAATTTCCTCATCGAATTCCTCTGCAGATACAATTTAAAAGGTCTTGACCAAAACTCAGTAATCTGACTAATATTTGTAAATCCTTTATTGTCGCAATGTATATGAAAGAGGCTCTCTTTAACTTCACAGTAGCATGGATCAAAGCAGGGCTCATCTATTTCCTCTGAGTCCTCTATCAGGGGAATCGGGGTAGTCCATCCCAGAGCAATTGTGCTTAGAAGAATAATCCACAACATCCTCCCTCTGCGAAGCATCTCAGCTATGGAAGGTTTCATCATTCGTGGTTGGTTACAAAACTGCAACAGAAATAAAGATGCAGATTTTCAGCTGTTAGTCATATGCACTATTCTAATAGACTCCTACGTCTGGGGCTTTTTAAAAGTGATATAAAAACTTTAGCAATTGTTGAACTGACACTCAAATGACCTATCAACATGCCTCATTTGCCCTATATTTTAAACTTAGTAGACTCTGAAATATTGTATCACGTGATGACGTTTTCCTGCCATACTTGGTAAAGGGCACATTCATACAAACAAAAGAAGCCTTCATTGCAGCTTATAACAAGCAGGAAAACTGGTATACAGTGATGCCTTCTAGGTTTAGGCAGATTCGGTCATAATGGCAATAATTTGGCCATTACACCTGTTAAAACTCACACTGGTATCAGAGGTGCCCATTATAGATCTGATTGGAACTCTGATGGGGAAAAAAAAAGTTCTTTAAATCACAGGATTCTACTCATAAAAAGACATGATTAAAATAAAAATAGTAAAGAACATGATAAAGTATGAGCCCATTGCCCAATATCAGACACTAAGATGTATTAAATGATTGAAATCTCAGGAAAGCTTAAGATTTCTCTTAAAAAATGGTCACATCATGCTTAATCACAGTTAATGCGCAGTAACACACTACACCCCCACCCTCTTTTGCCCAAAGACAGATTAACATCTTTAATTAATTTCCATGTATGTGTATCATTTGGCTATTTAAACCTTTTAGGAGTGATTACCCTTTCTAAAGAATGAGCCCATGCAATTGTCAGAGCTAAAGATAGTGACAATTAAAGGATGCTGGACCTGGGAGTGTCTGTATTAACAGCTTAGTTTGGAATGTGTGTCTGTGCCTTCAAGATCAACTGAGGAACCCTGTAAAAAGCTGGAACTGGAACGGCAGGTGGCTGGTTAGAGGACAGTTGAGTAGTTACAGGCAAGACAGTGGGGAAACCTTGATACTTACCTATTGATAAATGATCTATCACATGAAATACATTTCAAGAAAAAACATCATTCTTTTTTTAATCTGAAGAAACAAACACAGTGCACTATTCTAATAATACAGAGCCTCCTCTATGGTTCTCTTTCCTTGCCTAATATCAGTATATGAAAATGCATACATAAATAAATTGTAATAATGCAGTTTTATTAGATTGCCCTTTTTGAGTCACTGAAATGTCAATCAAAATTGAATGGTTGTTTTAAATCAATAAAAATAGACCAGAGTTTTTAGCATATATTTTCTCGCCACACTTAGATACATGCATTAAGGAAATATTTAGTTAACCCTCTAACTTAAAACACAACCATATAATTTTTAGGGAGAGTGAAAAGAATAAATCTTCACATTCCACTTGCATATAATGCGCACAGCTGTAAGAAAAGGACAACCAGTGAGAAGGCAAAGAGAAAGCTGCCTCGGGCATGCAACGCTCAATTTTTAGAAACAATTAAATGGAAGAGAGAGAGAGAGAGAGAGAGAGAGAGAGAGAGAGAGAGAGAGAGAGAGAGAGAGAGAGAGAGANCAAGAGTTTGAGCTCTGAGCAACAGCGGTTCAAGTCAGCCCGAGCTGAGCAGCCGTGAGCTGCCAACAGGTGGCGGGATGGCTCAGCTAAAAAAAAAAAAAGAAAAGAAAAAGGTGACTTATGGGAAGGTAAAAAGAAAAGGAGAAAAATAAACAAAAAAAAGAACAATGACACCTATTTAATAGTGGCTTTGATTATCTTGCATAAGAGCTGTATTTCCATATTGTGTGCAGAGAAATAGTGAATCATGACCATTGGCTTTCCTTCATCTGAAGTAATTCCAAAATATACTTCAAATAATGGAGGACAAAAGTTTTAGGTTCAATGTGCCAAATGCAAGGTAGCCTTGAAAAGCTGCATTTTTATATTGATATACTTGTGTTTTAATTGTGTGCATACCTATGTGGATACTCATGTAGAATTAACCAAGAGATATATAAATATGTTCTAGACATTAATGGGCTTTTTTTCAAGTTCAATGTCTTAGTTTTATATGAGTTACACAGCTTTAGACGCTGCTAGTCTCCTTTTCTATGGGAAAAAAATATATGATGTAAGGCATCTGAGTTGTGGTGAATTACATTCAACACATAATGATAATTTCTACTAAGGGCAGCTTGAGGAAGCACTAGCAGAGAACTCGGCTCACTGCACAATGGTGCAGCTAGTCTGTGAATCCCTGGAGCTCTGCTGCCCTCTAATGGCATAATGAGATAAGCGCCTGCCCAAAGCTCGCCATTGATTCAGTTTCACACACAAGATACTGGCACTTCAACAATCAAATTTTCTTTGGTTTTGCTCACATGTAAATGGGTCATAACTTTGATTATTGTTAGATTAATATTGAAACATTTTAATGTCATACAGAAATAAAAAACTCATTTGACATCCGCTGTCTTAGTTCAAGCATGACTGGGGCCACTTGCAGTAAGTGGTTGGAAAAAAAAATGGTAGCTAAATATTAATATAACAGTGACAGCTTTCACAGATAACCGGATTGTGAGAGTCAAATTGGCTCCAAGGCCTTAGATTTTTGTCGGTGTGTATGTGCAATTTTAGTGCATTTTTTTAAAGAATAGCAATTTTTCTTTTTCCTTATGTTATTTACTGCCTTAAGATGCATGGATCCTTAATTTCCTTCTCTTAATTAATCCTGTATTTCTTAGCAGTCTAGTTACTTTACTTTTCAATTGCGTCCTGCCTAGGAAAAATGGTGCATCACTGGGTTACTAAGTTTAAAATACATAATCCAAGAGAAGAAAAGTATAAATCAGACTTAATTTTAAGTCCCAAATCGTATCGTGGTATGGGATAGGGGTGGTGGGTTATAAGATTTATCAGCATTACAGTGCATCAAACTTGTTAATAAACTAGCCTTCTGTATACCAAGTAAAAGAAAAATGTTTGTTTGTTTTTAATGGGAGCACAAAAGGCATGGCATAGCTGGAGTTTAAGGTTCAAGCTTTGTATCCTCTATATATAATGTATTATGTTTTTCAAAAACGTTTTATTAGGAAAGCTATACCAGACGCATAATCACTATACAATGATTAAACATTACCTTTACAATTTATAATCACTGAAATTACAGAATAAATATACGCACATTTCTTTTGAATCTTTGTGTGTGAGAGAGAAAACATTAAAAGTGCTTCCTACAAAGCTGTTAGTGATATATACCCAGTTGCTTTTTTATGGTGTTTTTTTTGTAATATTATATATATGTATATATATATATATATATAAGAAAGTGCAGATGTTTTCCAAAAAATCTTGGCATCAGGATGGAGTGTCACAAAGAGGATGCTCGTCCCTAGGTGTGTGCCTCCCGCTGTTAAACCACCAGGCCTCCCCTTCAGTAGGATCCAGCCTAGAATATGACCTTTCCCGAGTGGTAGGAGCGATGTGAGCTGTACACTAGGGGTGAAGGGAAGTGGAGCTAGGAAGAGGTGACAGATGGATCAAATCCAAACTAATTAGATTGAATTGAATGGGAGTGGTGTGTGTGTGTGTGTGTGTGTGTGTGTGTGTGTGTGTGTGTGTGTGTGTGTGTGTGTACTGGCACCAGAAGCAAGAGGCTGCAGGTTTAGGGACCTAACTGGGTGCAGGGATTTGTGATTTGCTTGTGGGTATGTGTGTGAGAAAAAAAAACTAAGAGTGGGTGAGAACATTCGAGCAAGACCCGCCCCCTCCCTCCCCGTCTTGCAGTTTCCAGGCATGCAGCAAACTGCATTGTTAATACATGTACAGAATCTGTGCCATGATGGGAAGAGGAAAGAGAGCCACAGATGTCAACTTGTTTTCTCCCCTCCCTGTCAAACAAAACTACAACTACAAAAAAAAAAAAAGTTACTGAAAATAAAAAGACACATTGGATTTTACTTAATTAGGATCCATACAACGATCCCCAATACACCTTATACATGGCACAGTCAAAGTCTCAAGTTTCAGTATAAAAAAATAATGGTAACATTTGCTGGCAAAAGTCTGCGAAGGCACTTCATTGATTAATTATCTGAGTATGGCTCCTCCTCCAAATCACATCTGGGAGGGGAGCACACACATCTGTATTTTCTAGTTATCATGCGGTTTCAGTTCTGTTCAGGGCAGGGGAGTTGGTGAGAGTGAAGTTACTGGGACAAGTGTAAAGGGAGCGAGGGATATATTTCTTTCATTTTCTTTTTCTTTTGAAAAAAAAAAGCACTAATGTATTTTTTTTCTTTTTCTGTTAGAACCTATACGCTGTCTTCTCCAGGACTTCGAGGTAATCCGGCTTGGTTTGAAGTTTGGCCCTTAACTCGAGGTAATCGCTTTTTGGGGTTTGGTGGTCTGTGAAGCCCTTTCCAGCCGAGAAGAGAAGGGTTTCTTTGAGCCTGGCATCCTGCTGTAAGTCTGGATATTGCATGCCAGGAGGGTGGACGTGCAGTTCCTTTAATTTGGGCACTGTGCCATAGAGACAGTCCACGAATCCCACTGTGCAGGGAGCTGGCTGTGGCCTCTCTCGGTCTAGGAGCACACCGCCGCCACCACCACAGCCTCCCCCAGGAGGAAACAGCACCACCCCGCCATTCTTCTCATGGTGGCGGAACCCAGCCAAGTCTCCTCCAGGTCCAGCGACTACCCCCGAAACCCCCCCAACTGCTGGGTGGTGAGGGTGAGGGTGATGGTGGTTCACCGTCACTATGGTGTTCAGCTGGGAGCTGGACACTGCCAGGGCCCACTCCTTTTCTTTTTCCAGCAAGGTCCGGTAGTTGCTGTGGTTCTCCTTGGACGTCTCGGCAAACTGCTCACTTCCCAGGAGAACCTCACCCAGCCCTGGCGCTTGTGTCGCCTGCCCCCCGCGCTCTGCACTCCCTGCATCCGGCACTGATGAAACAGCCACTTCCTCTTCCTCGCGAGGCTTGTAGATGGGGTTGTTGCACATCTGGGTAACTGGGTGGGGGATGTACTCGTATACATGACCCACGGGAGGGGCCTTCTCTGGGGAGGAAA